GGCAAATGAAATGTGATCTACATGAAAATACATTATTTTATACTCTTTTTTCTTATGTTTAATATTTAATTAATATTTAATATATTGATTTTAATTGTAGTCCTAAAAAAGACTCCAAGAAACACTACTAACTCCTATGTAGAAGAATATCCAAAACTTGCTTTTAATGAAAGCTAAATATAAAAAGCTAAAGCTTTTTATGGATGGAAACTAATCAAGGAGAGAAGCAACCTAGAACTAAGGAGAAACTTCCTGGCAGTTAGAACAAATAACCAGTGGAACAACCTGCCTCCAGAAGCGGTGAATGCTCCAACACTGGAAGTTTTTAAGAAGAGACTAGACAGCCATTTGTCTGAAATGGTATAGGGTTTCCTGCCTGAGCAGGGGGTTGGACTAGGTGACCTCCAAGTCCCTTCCAATTTTTTTTATTATTATTATTATTAATAATAATAATAATATTATTATTATTATTAATATTATTATTATAAAATGCACTGAAAAGACTATGTCACTGAACTGAAGTTTTACATCCATAAATAAGTTCACATACTATAAAAAAATTATACTCAAAACTGTTTAAGTTTCCAGATGTATTGGGAGTATACCACCTAGAATTCCCTGTCAAGTTTCCCCTTGAGCAAGGAATATGAATCAGTGCCAAGGCTGGTGGCATTGCATAATATTTAAAGTATAAACTCCACTAAATTGTTAACATGTTGGGTTATACCTGTAGGTAATATGCTTCTGCCTCCATTTTTGTCCAGTAAGTGCATATCGCTTAATCCTTCGTCTATGGCTTAGATGGGGATGATCAGGAACACCACAGCGAGGTTTTTTCATCCACCTAGAAAGTAAAAAGATTCCTGATGAGTCAGGAATATATGGTACAAAAATAGGGCTTTGAGCCATTTCAGCCTCTTTTGTTGATGTATCTAGCAGAATTGAAAATAGATTGCCAATCAATTTGGACAAGCTTGATGGCCTATCTGTTGGTCAAGGTAGACTAAAGTTCTGGCCAGTCTAGAGAAAGTGTACCAAAAGAGATTAAAAAGGCAATTTTGACATAGGTTAGAGAAGTAAGTTTGAACTTTGGAGCTAGTTAGTTTGGAGCAGACTACAAGGTATCAGCTATGTCAAAATTTCTTCCTCCAGAAAGAAGGTGAAAAATTCCATCTCTGGAACTTCAACCATGTGTGGCAGTAGAGAGCGTTGTTTCACTGTATATAGTTTACAGGCAGTTCAGTAAAACCATTCAGTTACAACAGCATTGAAAAAGTGACTTATGACCATTCTTCATACTTATGACTATTGCAGCATCCCCATGGTCAAGTGATCAAAATTTAGATACTTGGCAACTGACTCATATTTGTGACAGATGCTATATCCCAGGGTCACCTTCTGCAACCTTCTGATAAGCAAAGTCAATGGGGAAGTCAGATTCACTGAACAATTGTGTTGCTAACTTAACAACAGCAGTTATTCACCTAACAACTGTGGCAAGAAAGGTCATAAAATGGGACAAAACTAACTTAACAAATTTTTCACTTAGCAACAGAAATTTTGGATTCAATTGCAGTTGTAAGTCAAGGACTATCTGTATTACATTTTATAATGTTAGAATACTTTCAGATGGATTAGCAACCAGTCCATAATGAGTTACTTTGCTCCATAATGGATTTTCGGTGGATGAAACTATGGAGAAAACAGGAAGGCTGCAATAGAAGGTAATGGAATCTGAGTCCCCTAAAAAATTTTGAGATTGTGTGATTGCACAGTAAAAGCATTATCTGATATTGTCAAGGATGAAACTTTGGCAGCTATGTGGCTCTGTATTTCAACTTGCCTTTAGAGTAAGGGGGGAGGTGTTGCTTTCAAGTGGGTTAGATGGAGAAACGAAACTTCTACGATTCTGCTGAAGACCACGAGGGCCTGAAACCTTTTCAAGGACACCATAACAGGTGTGGATTTGAAGCAGACGGTTCCTACAACAAAGTCAACTTGTTTATATGGACTATGTAAGACGTTGGAGGTTTGGCTGGGAAAATTATTAAGTCTATGATTTGGTGTTGGAACCTCAGAGTTAAGTTTTGCTTCGACATTACCATGCAGTGTATTCAATAAACAGTAAGACTTTCGGAAACGGAATAAACCTGGAGTTTTATATGGATTCTTGAGCTGGATGTTGACAGATATATTCATTGTGCTGAGACCATCAATTCATTAAGGAATCACAAAATTACTTCTGTACTATATACTGGAAGCTGGAAATGAAAAAAAGATACTTGTGGGATTTATGCAAACCAGGTTCCACGCACATAGTACTTCTGTGTACAGAAAATCCTTGCTTAATGACCATTTGTTTCATGACTCCCAAAGTTATGATGGTGCTTTTGACAGTCACAGCATCCCTGCAGTCAGGTGATCACAATTCAGGCATTTAGCAACTGTCATGCATTTACAAGAATTGCAGCATCCTGCAGTCATATGATTACCATTTGTGACCTTCCCAGCTGGCTTCAGATAAGCAAGTCAGTGGAGGAAGCCAGCAAGAGGTTGCATGTTGTATAATATATGATATCTTACTTAACAACCACAACTAGGATTGTCGGAACTGCTGTTGCTAAGCGGGGCTGTTGTGTGATGTTTTGCTTAATGACTGCTTCACTTAGTGATGAAGTTGCTGGTCCCAATTAGGATCATTAATCAAGGACTACTTTTATATAGAATGACTATAGTATAAGGCCATAATATCTGCACACATATACAATAACATTTAAAACCTAGCGCCATTACATACAGCGTATATTTCTATCCCCATTTTATCTGATGACCTATGCAGTATCTGCTAAACCAATTGTTAAATCAATAGAAATCCCTGGATGAATTCTTTGGGATGTGAAGTTAATTACATCTGCCTATGGTGAGAATTCTGGGAATTGAAGCCCATTCATCTTAAAACTGCCAAGGTTGAGAATGTTGATCTAAGTGATGAAAGAGATATGGTTGGCAATCTGACTCACTTTTCAGACCATATTCATTCTTAGAGTATATGCATATGCCAAGCAAATTTATCAGGCTCACATTTTAAAGTTTCATGATGCTATAGATAATGGTCTGGGCAAGAACATTAATTTCAAGTATCTGCAAAAATCATTCTTACTCAATAGTGGTCTGATCCAACACTCCTGTTACAGGGATGCCGTAAAACTGCTGCATAGTGGTGACTGCGGACTGCATAACTTTTCCTGAGAGCAGAGCAGACATTCTTGTATCAGATGGAAGCAGATAACCATAGCTTTTTAACCAACTCTGAAAATAAGACAAAGGAAACCCATATTTAAAAAATAGCACAACTTAATAGTACACACACACACACACAAACACACATAATTAATTGGCTTGTTTCATTTTTAGTTGAAATATGAATTCACAATTGTTGATGTATTCACCTTTCTTCCTTTTTTAAATATATGAGGATAACTATAGGACAAGAATAATTGCAAAAGGCGATGTTGTCCTACCAACTTTACAGGCGTTGTTAAACTTCTGGTTGTGTATGCAAATTCAGGTATTTTATCTGTACACAATTCTCATTTTAGTTGCTAGGATATTTTATGCATAAAAATATGATTGACTACAGATTTAGTTTGTCCAACATTTTTCCAAATATAAAGTCTCCCAAGAGAGCATTTCACATACTGTGGCTTCTATACTGTGGTTTGGCTGAGAAACATCAGCACTAAGAAGGCATACTAGATCAAACCAAAGGTATGATATGACCAAAGATGTGACAAAAGTGGAAACAATAGATTGAAATATGAATGTTTAAGATTGTTTAAGACTATATTCAAGAACCAGTTTGATGTAGTGGAGTGTTTCTCAACCTTGGCAACTTTAAGATGGATGGATTTCAACTCCCAGAATTGCTGACTGAGGAATTCTGGGTATTAAAGTTCAGACAACTTATTGTTGCTAAGGTTGAGAAACATTGATATAGTGATTAAGGATACTCAGTTAGAAACCTGTTGACTGTGAATTCTAGTCCTGTCTAGAACTTCTGTTTAAGCATGAAAACTAGGTGGGTGATTCTCAGCTCTAGGAATAAGGCAATGGCAAACTACTTCTGCAAAGATTGCTAAGGAATGATTTTTTTTTAAAAAAAGAAAGCTTAAGATGAGTGAGTGGCACTTAATCTTTCCCTGTCCTGTGCCATATCTCCCTACATATATCTTCCAAACTGCCCTCTCTTTCAGAAAGCCCAGGTCTCAACAAGTGCCTGGAAAAATGAAGGTAGGATAATAATCTATGTAGGGCAGTGGTTCTCAACCTATGGGTCGCGACCCCATTTGGGGTCGATCGACCATTTCATGGGGGTCGCCAAGCAAGGCTGTCCGCCATTTTTTCCCCTTTTCTGGCGAGTGCCTTACCTCCCTTGGGCTGGGCCAGCTGGTGGTCGGCCTGCTCCGTCTCTGCCGCTTGCCAGCTACGCCTCGGCCGGTGCAGGGGACAGAACCGCGCATGCGCGGCGCTCCCGGGCAGGGAAAGTCCTCGACTTACGACCGGTTGGGTAGTCCTCGACTTATGACCGGTTTAGTCCTCGACTTACGACTGGTTTAGTCCTCGACTTACGACTGGTTTAGTCCTCGACTTACGACTGGTTGGGGGTCACGGCATTAAAAAGGTTGAGAACCACTGATGTAGGGAGATAAGTGTAATTTTCCCACTAATGCACTTAAATTCTCTTAAATTCATTCCATGTGCATTTTATAATACCCCTCCTATTTTATAATATGAAGTCACATTCAACACTGGTAATAGTACAGAAGAAATGGCAACTATAATCCAGCGTTGCAATGTGAAACATTCTTTTCAGGATTCCAGGGATGGAAGACAGCCCATTCTATTCCTCCCAAATTTCTATTACTTCCTTTGCATCAGCCATGCCAATAGCATGCCTTGACCGTTGATCATACCTATTTCTCACTGGACAGTTTCTGAAACCTTTGCACCAATCCAATTTTTTTCCATTCCCTCCCCCAGCAATACTATTTTATATTTCTGAAAATCTTGGGGATTTCTCAAGCTTTGTAATACCGTCTACTTATACAGGAATAATGCCCTTTGGCTGCATCAAATCTGGTGTCAGAACTTAGCAATTTTAATGATATCATTACCTAGGTTTTCCATAAAAAGCATCACCAGCATAAAATATACAGTAGTTGCAAATCCTTGTGTGGGATTGGTTGCAGATCTGTCAAGCATTGGGAAAGACCACAACTTAAATAAATTCAATCTATTTCTCAGTAAAATAGCGTAGAATAAGAGGCTGATAGAACATTAAGGTATTTTATCAATGACCTGCTTATATACTTCCTTACCTCTTAGTAGCAAGCAGATGCAGTTGTACTGTAGGAAGAGAAAATCTGTCCTAACTAATCACACGTCAAGGTAAGGGATATTGCACTATTTTTATTTAGATTTGAAAATAACATTTTAAGCTACACCATAACTCCATGTGATAATACACTGGTACACACTCCAAATGATCCTTACTAGAATGTATAACAAAAAATGCAAAGTAACCCTCATAGACCTAACCAAATTAGGTGATGCATAGGTAACTTCAAAAATAAATCTTTGTTATAATCGATACCAGATCTGCATGTAAACTCCAAATACCCACCAGACAACAGCAAGAGAGATGCAAAAACTTCAAACTCTAGTCATTTTTGCAACCCAGAGTTTTCAGCAATACTGAAGGACTGTCTTGCTTCATCTTGTGGCTTCTTTGGCCTCAATTTGGGCCACAAGAATAAAAAACAAGAACTGACTAGGGAGATCACAATAGTCATGGTTTTAACAAGAATATCTGGTATTTGGCTATTGTCTCTAACATCCGTGCTTTGATATATCTGCTAAGAAGAAAATATTTACTTATGATGAAATTACAGAGGTGAAAGCTAAAGAAGTCCTTTCAAATATAAAAAAGTTCTTAGCTGCAGTTGGGGAAAAGATACAAATTCTAACGCCTCTTGCTTTGTCCATCAAATTCGACTGGACTTCAATAAATAATATGAATTCCCTAAATAACTGACAATAATCAAACAAGTGCTCATTAATAAGCACAACTGAAGATTTTATATTCTTAATGGACCTGGAATAAAGACTAAGTAATACAATTTTAAGCAAAGTATTTCAGTCATTCCTTAAGTAATAAATTCAAGATTATCTAAAGTTTCAGAGGAGAAATGTTGAAGGTACAGTACAGTACAGTTCTGTGAAAAAGTATCTACTTCCTTTTGGATTTTCTGATTTTTTTTGTCACTGAATATTAACAGAAATTCATGTGTCTTAAAGAATGAATAAATAACATCACACATTGCTGCTTGATTAATTTAATTCATGAACAAAGGCATCATGGATACCAGTTAATCCTATACCTTCTGGGATAGTTGCATATCTTCCTATACAGAAGCTAGAACTCTTTAACTCATAAACACCATTAATCACATATCAAACTGAAATCTTTTGCCAGTAATGTAACAATGCCACTACATTACATTAACAAAATGTATGTTCTGCCTAAGCTTGAATGGGGAGATATACCAGTGTGAGGGATCATCTAGCAGGAGGCCATCCAGAGCCTGAAAAGGGCTAGGAAAATATGCCGTTTGCATCTAGTTCTTCCAGGCTGGGTCCAGTTTTTGAGCAGAGAGCAAAGATAAAAAAAAAGAGGTAGGAAAGTACCCGGTACAGAAACCACAGGAGACCAGTATATTTAACACAAGAATCAGCAAGTTCATTGCCACTGAGAATGGCCTTTTATTTTAATATCAGCAGCAGCAGAGGGAAGAATGGCATAAGTAAAATGGAAACAAATCAGCATTCTGAATCAAAGAACCAGAGGATGTGAGAAACCCATGGTTTTGGCAAAGATGGCCACAGTGATATAGTTTCAAAACAATAACAGCTATCTGTATAAATATTAATAGAGGAACTAGAGGTTAAAAGAGAAGCTTAAGTCACAGCATGTAAGTCACCAACTTGAGCAGAAACAAAGGGAAGCAAAGAACTTAATTTAATACATTCAAAAGGAGTACATACCCACGTATCCATGCCCACATATCCAGCACCCTGTTTCCCAGGGGGAGTGTGGCAAGATGTCACGTGAGTATAAAATTAAAAATCAGCACTTGCAGTGGGGTTTTACTGAATATCAGGGTGAGGAAGAAGTTCATAAGCAATAAAAAAAAATCATGAGTGGAAAAACTTTCAGCAGGAGATAGGGTACAGGTAATCCTCGATTTATGACTACAGTTGAGTCCAAAATTTCTATAGCTAAGCAAGACAGTTATTAAGTGAGTTTGCCACAGTTTATGACTTTACTTGCCACAGTTAAGTAAATGCCTGCAGTTATTAAATTAATAACACTTAACACTTAACAATTAATTCACTTAACAATTAATTGTTAAGCCAGATTCACTTAAAAATTAATTGTTAAGCCAGAGTCACTTAACAATTAATTGTTAAGTGAATCTGGCTTAAAAATTAATTGTTAAGTGAATCTGGCTTCTGACTTTGCTTGTCAGAAGGTCACAAAAGGTGAACACCTGACCCTGAGACAGTGCAACCATCGTAAATACATATCAGTTGCCAAATGTCCGAATTTTGATCATATGACCAGTCGTAAGTATGAAAAAAGATTGTAAATCACTTTTTTTAGTGCTGTTATAACTTCGTAAAGCCACTAAATGAATAGTTGTCAGTTGAGGATGTAACTGGAAGGTGGGATTATGGGAGGAAGAATTAATAACAGATGGGAGACTTTAGGAATACTATTTCCAATTTGCTCAGTTGTTTGGGGAGTCAAGGACAAATGTAGGTGATAAGCATATATGATTAGGCAGATCCCATAAGAAGATCAGAGAATTTGTCCATGAAGAGAGTCACAGCTTGAACAGCACAAAGATGGGGTGGAAAGCCAGCAGCAATTAGACCTAACTTGTAAATATAGTACATCACTGGGTGAAGATAGTCACCATGAGGATGAACAAAGACACCAGAGATTATATCACATGCTTGTGGCTAAGCACAGTAAAGAATGAGGAATAATCGGGGAGTCCAAGGGCAGGGACAGAAGCAATGCCTACTTCAAATGACAAAATACTTGGTCATGCCCTCAATCCAAAGCAAAGAGGCATCTGTTCAAAGAATAGACTGGAAGAGTTGAACTTCAAAAGCAAGGTCTAAAATCCAGGGACATCAAAATCCAACCAAGCCAAGAAAAGAACATATATACTGGGGATAAA